TCAGTCAGTCAGTCGGTCAATCAGTCAGTCAGTCGGTCAATCAGTCAGTCAGTCGGTCAGTCAGTCAGTCGGTCAGTCAGTCAGTCGGTCAGTTAGTCAGTCGGTCGGTCAGTCAGTCGGTCAGTCAGTCAGTCGGTCAGTCCGTCATTGAGGCAATGAGCCACTTAGTAAATGAATTGATCAGTGAGTCAGTCAAACAGCCGGTGAGTTTGCCAACCAGCTATCACTAGCTAGCCAGTGAGTCAGTCAATCCGACCTATCCACGCGTGGTCAGCTGATCAGCTATTATATCACTGAGCCAATCACCCTGTCAATCAAACAATTACGTACCGCGGGCACACGCCGGGCAACATTGGCCTGGAATTTTTATATGGCTTTTACATCCAGCTTTGTTCTTCTCGCAGTAGTAGATTCTGTGGCACTTCTCCAAATTTCCTGCCATGCAGGTACACTGATGACACTCAGCCAGCTGGTTGCCGTGGAAATCTCTTAGAAGTTCCAAGCTATCGCCTTGTTTGTAGGTTTGGTCGTTGACTTTACAAACGGGTGCATTACTGGGGACATCTACAGTATGAATGATTAAAGGCAATCAAAAGAACAAAAATATAATTTTTTACAAGTGGGCTAAACAATTTATGAACGTGTTATTGCTTATTTCATGATCATGAATTACAGTCGCTTTTCACTGTACAATCAATTTGTCAATTGATAGCCGTATGATCTTCTATTTATGCTGGGATTCATAGACTATCAAACATTCAATTTTAACAATAACCACAATTATATTTAATATACACATAATTCACCACATTTTTCAAAATAGAATAAAAAAAGATGGTAGCTCGGTCATGAAATAATGAGATAAATTTATGAATAATTTATTTTTCATACCGAGCTAAAAAGAAATTACTTTCTTTCTTATTCTGTCTACTCAAACGAAACTTTCGAAATTGCTAATCCTATCGGTATGTAGAACGTATGTAATATTCTAAATCTAATTTTAGCGTTCTCTGTTACTCAGTGGGGGAGCACAGGTAGAATCTGAAGGTGTGAGGTTTGTCTCAGTGGGGAATCGGAATTTTTGGTTCGATTCACACTCGCCTTTTCAAATTCCTCCCAATGAACTTGATCTGTTCATTGTTTGGAATAAAGGCCTCTACACGATGTTTTATGGTAAGCGACGAGGATATTAATGCATTTTTCTAAGAACAAGAGAACGAGAACCGTAACCAAAAAGGAAACTGATGAGTTTCTCGAAAGCGGTTGAGGCGAGACAAAAATAATAAAGGATATTACTCCCGCGTATTTGTGTTTGTATTAAAACCAGCTTCAATCTCTACCATTTATATTTACTATCAATATAAGTAAAGTCTGCATTAGAGCCAAGAAGCTCATCAGGCTGGCTCTTAACTTCGGTTCAATTCTGTAGCATGAAGCGGCTAAGAGTATTTCTACTTGCCCCTAGATGGGATGCTGGTCCATCGCATTAAATTTGCCGGTACCCATTTAAACAACTGGGCAAAGAGAGGTACCGTGAGAGTAAAGTGTCTTGCCTAATAAGAACATGACCCCGGTCAGGGCTCGAACCCAGACTACTCGATCCGGAGTCGAGTGCATTAACCATAAGGCTGAAAGAAAAATAAAATACTGACGTTTACTTATCTTCTCGCCGTGTTGTAACATCCTCTATGTAATACCTTTTTGGCACTTAGGACAGCATTGTGCCGATGTCTTGACATAGCCGTTACAACTGGAATCGTTCATAACACAGTCAAAGAGGAAATGGCAGTCGTCTAGTTTACCACTCGAACAGGTACACTGATCACATTGACCGTTTTTTAGGTCTCCATTGAACACCTCCATGCTGTCTCCTTCATCATACGTTTGTCCTTCGACACTACAACTCGAAGATTTTACTGGGAGTGGATTCACTGGGGGAAAATGTTGTGAAATGTGAGCGGGTGAGATAGGCATTCAAACGTCAACCGCAAGAGCGAGAAAATAATCATGAATTTTGAGAACGCTATTTGATAACAGCCAAGTACATTCCTGTTGTATCATAATCAGGCGGATGAGAAAATCGAAACTCATGAGAAGGATTTGGTGCAGCTTACCTTTGATGCGATAAATATAGTTTGTGCTTGCCTTTCCCACGCCATTTATACAGTTACCGGATTTTCCATGTTTACTGTAAGTCATCGCAGCGTCTTTCCCAGACCAGCACTCTCCGAAATACTGAAGTCCAACTATGGCCGTGTATCCTTCCTTAAAGGCGCTTTCGGCACAAAGCTGTATGACTTTACTCATGTCTTCCCAGAAGTCCCAGATTACTTTGTTATCTGGTAAACTTCCTTTTTTCCTGAAGATTTTAACCAACTTACTCAGCGCTCTATCTTTTTTCTCATCTCTGAAACAACCAACTGGTTCGTAGTCTATTTCAACTAGAGAAAGAAAGACAACTAGTGGCAACGCTCCTAAATGTTCTCTGACCTACAAAATTCAACACTCGATAAGTCAAGTATGTTAAAGCCATGGCAGTGTTAGCTTTAGTAGCAAAAAGGATCGCAGCGAACTCAGCAGAATGGAGTGGTCGATCGAAATATTGAAAGGCGCCGAATAAATGACGAAATATTTCAATACAATAGTGAAGGACCACTCGTTATTTTTGTAGGGGGGGTGCTAATGAGGAAGTGGCCGGAGGCATATTAATATTACAAAGCCTCATGGAAAGATCAGGGATATTACCCTCGATCGTGACACAACGAAAATCCTCCAACCCCCCCCCCCTCCACCCCCAGGCGATGACTAATAAATAATATAAAAATATCTTACCCTCAACGTCTCTGACAGTTCTGATCTTTTCTTCCCGTGCCTCCTAAGGGGATTAATCAAATTATTGTTTTTAAACAATGGCCTACGTTCATAATGCAAATTTTCTACCAAGCCTTTAGAATGAATATATGAAAGCTTTATAAGTTTAGAGACGATTCATGTATAGTGTAGGATTTGGTAGAGTGGTGGGGAAGCAAGGGGGGAGGGTTTGCAGATGACCGAGTCCTTTCCTGCCGGGATTTTCATCTCATTACACCGGAAGGTGTAAGTCCTTTAAGATATTTATTGGTGAAAGACCTCATCATAGAAAGAGATTATAAACTGATCTTTGATCATAGTGATTCCAATGAGTTTGTGATGATTTATGAAGTATTTTTAAGTGTAATAAATACCAGAGTATCGTGTTTCTTTCCCTCTACTGTTAAAACTACAAGGAATACGACGAGAAATGCTTGAAAAGGACTTCTTATGTCCATACCTACGAGGAAAACAAGAATAAGCACAGAAAATAACTGTAGTAAAATAGTAATGTAAAATGATCAGAGTGCGTCTTTGAGACACCAAGAGACGATATAATTTGGTCTTAGTTGGTTCATTAATTAATAATTCCAGCTGGCCTTCATTTGAAGGATCAGTGTTGGGAATTTCCCTTTGCGTTTGGCAGCGTTAGAGCCCGGCGGCAGGGGGGCACTTCGGGTCATTTTCTGACAATTGTGCAACTGCAGAAACCCGTGTCGATAGAAGTTTCGTTTTACTTTTATTTTTGCGCATGCAAATGTCTCTAAAATAAGAAAAATCTCGTAAAGTTATAAATTTGGCTGCAAAATCCATTGTTAAAGCTTTTTTTTTGTTTACTTTTTTTTTGGCGAAAAGCCTCAAGAGCTGATCCGGCTTTTGCAATATTGATTGCAGCTATAAAACATCAAATCACCACAGTCTACTACGCGTCAGAATGTAAAGTTAAAAATTCCTTTTTGTCGTGCTGCTCGCAAAATTTCATTTTATACTAATATTAGATCAATACTAATAACTAAACAGTTTTGAGTTTTTCAAATTTTTTTCCTGTGGGCAAAGTCAAGATTATTTTTACCTTATCACTTATTTTCGCGCGACTTTCATTTCGCGTATTTGGAATAAGCATATTTCGCGGGACTTAAAATTCGCGATTTTCACGAATCATCGTTTTTCAAGGTAATTAAATTTCGCGAATCAATTAGCTGATGCTCGTTTTTTCAACTTCCATTTCTGTATTTAGTTAACCATAACGGAATAGAAACCTCAAACGCAACAAACAACTGGCTGAAATGTTCAACAATGTCAGCAACTTAGTAAAATCTTTTAAAAGGGCTGATACAAGCAAGATGAGTCCAATGATGAGAAATAAGGGCATGCGTTGAACTGAAATTTGAGCCGCCCTACTCGTATGTAAACTCCAAGAAGAAGGAAAGCTTAAATAGAGGATTTTATAAAGGTCTCTAAATTTTGCGTCTTTAATGTACGCGGCACCTATTTTTCGCGGGACTTTAATATCGCGAATTTTTCTAAATAGCGAGAATTGAATCTTGCGAAAATAAGTGATTATAAGGTACTACCTCAGAGTATTATTAGATAAAATATTCTTGGCAATATAAATTTCTAAAAATATTTTCAACCAAATAATCGGTAAGAACGATAAATGTCCTGATAATGATTGGTTTATACTTAAAAGAAAACCCAAAGTAAGCAAAAAATGCAGTACTCTTTTTCAATCAGACAGATTACATCGAGTTTCTGCAGAAAAAAAAAACAGAACTATTTTCATCAATAACTAATTTTCCTTCCTAAAATTGATATTTCGGAAAATGGTAAAATATAACCTGCTAATTGTTAAGTTTTCTCTCTAAAATAGGTTAAGACAACTTGAACGGAAAAGTGGACAAGTGAAAATCTTACAAAGAAGAAATAATAGGGCAAGCCACCAAAATTCCGCTCGCTGCTCAAAGTATAATAAATAGTCGCGATAATTGTCGAAAAGTTGCTGCAACAGTAGACACTTTTTTCGGTATGTTAAATGAACAGATAGTATAATGCCTATCTCACTTACCGGAATTTGAAATTAGTGGTGGCGGAAAGTAATTTTTTTCATTCAAGTTCGTGCAAAGATAAAAGCGCTATAGGAGACAGATTCAGGCTGAATCGAGCCTTTTAGTAAAGCTGCTAAAGTGGACTAATTCTTATGTCAAGCACGTTCAAAACCCAAACTCGCAGGAAATTTGAATTTTAATACATGTTTTCTTTTAAACCAAACAGTTGCCATCCTTAGCTTTGGAAAGTAAATATTAAAACACTTGTTCTTACAACAAATTCCTTATTATAAATTGGTTACTTCGCTTGAGCAGAGATCGAAAAAATGCGACTCAGATTTTCAATTTCAAAATAGTTCCGCTAAAAGTAAATGATTTTAGCAGTTTTTTAGTAATTCATCTCAATAATGCTATCGCCGATAAAAGAAAAGATGTTTGGTTCAGTTTAATGATGGTATCGATCAATGATCAGATTGATACGTTGAAAAGCATACTGAGTGGGCAATAATTGTTTATTTAAGACGAATAGGAAAGAAAACAAATTAAAGCAAAATCCGGTTGTAGAATTGCATCTAAAGTTTTTTTACAAATTCAATCAAAATTCTTAAGTTTCGAATTCGTCTTAGAGTTGAAGCCTAAAATCCACAAGGAATGCACTTGAGACTTTGAATCTCGATATAACTGTCGCAAAAAGAAAGAGCGGGATTCACTGCAATTCTCTCAAAAGTTAATTGGTATATCGGATGTAATTGTTAACTGCTCTCATTCAAAGTAAATGAAACTGGTTAAACAAGAAAGGAAATTGGTTTGCCTTTTGACAGAAAATCGTTACCTGAACGGAAGGACTCTTAATTCAAACACAACATGAAACTTTGAAAAAGGACAGATGACGCAGGAGATGTACTAAAAACCTGAATCGTGACGATAAAATACCAAATCTGCCTTTACCGCGCGCGAATGCCATGAAGGTTTTTTAGACTTTTGTCAAAAAGTGTAGATTACTTTCTTAGACTTAAAAAAAAATACACACGCTCGAAACCAAGTCAAAAAGCTCAGATCTGAAATATCTATCAATGGTGATATTATTTTCGGTCGACAGCAAATGTTTCTATTCTTTTGAGCTCCGGCTTATTCGCAACTAACATTACTTGTGGCCTACCTTACATTTTTTTTTTTTTTTTTTGAATTTTTCTTCCAAGTTCTGTCTTTTTCTTTATTTTTTCCAATTGAAAAATAATATCTTATTTCAGAATACTTACCCAAGAAAACAAAGTAAGTAATGGGGCAAGAGGAATGCATCTGAATGAAATTTGCTCGCTAGCCTATATCCTGAGTTAATTGAAAGGTAAATTCGTATATTTTTGGTAATTAAAAACACATTTGTTTATTTCAACAGGTGCTCAAGAATTGATTAGCAAGGAAAAATTGAGGTGGTTCACGGTGTCACAAAAAACTATCTACCCATTGTGTTAAGGTGTAAGGTGTCGTTCATTGTTTGTAGACTCGTCTGTCCTTCGGGTAATCTTGTCATCCCCAATACCAGGACAGCCGATAAATACCCTATTAACTCAGTTTCTCCACAGAGCGTTTGAAATTTTGATACCCGTTGTAAGGTAAAATGGAAACTGCGTAAGCTATTTTATCTTGTTGAAATCATGCTACATCTATAACTTTGCATGGATAATGTACGTTCAAAAAAAAAAAATTTCGAAACACGAGTACCTGTATGATCCATCGATCACCCAAATGCCATTAGAGGATGGCATTGTAAAGTTTTTTTAATTTCAATCAATATGACTGGTTTATTGTATGATGCTGACTTAATAAAGAATCACTAAGTTACAACTACACAATCAAAAGTCCAATCCATTTTCTTTTCAATATTGCTCGCGACTTTGTCTAGGTGCCTTCTTCTTGGTAGATCTTGAAAATTCTGCAAATACAAAAAGTAAAAATTTGATTGACTTCTTCCGGATTGAAAGAATCGTCCCTAAGTCACCATGGGTTTGTGCCAATATTTCTCTGATATTTATTACGAGATTAGTGGAGCTAACAAAAACGCAACATAAAATGAGCTTCAGAGCGCTGGAATGGAATTAAGGTATTTTAAACTTCGATGCACAAGCTGACATTTCTTGAATTTTCAGGTCTTGTTTACCACACTAACAGCATTTTCAGGTACCTTTGTCGAAGTTTCACTTTGTCTCTGCTTAATCTCTGTATTCTAAAATAACTGGCATGTGTCAGTAAAATGACGTTAATAATAATAATAATAAAGGTCTTTATTAAGAATTATTGTGCAAACAGGCGTGCTACAATTAACATGAATAACATGAATGAAATGAATAAGGAAAAAGAAAAGGTATTAATTACTATTGAAAAGACATCTATTAATAAAAACTGATTCAAAACGGCTTGTCTGGACCTTAGGCAAAATATAATTATGCGACCTAGTTCTCAACTGCCGTGTTCTCTGGGGAGGTAAGAGATCGCTCAACGCAGTGTTGGTGGAAGAGATCCTTTGCCATAATTTCTTATCTCTATTACAACGGATATCCAAGATACTGTGTTGCTTTAAGCAGTAACCCAGCTTATAACACCTGGCAAAGAGCTTATCAATTCTACTTAAATATTTACTATAAAAAGCACACCCCCAGACCTCAATAGCATATGTAAAAACTGAAAGAATCAAACTTTGAAAAAGTAAGTCCAAATTCTCAATAGGGTAGCCATAATATTTACATATTCTCAAAATATACAACCTACTGCTAGCCTTACTAAGTAGATAATCAATATGAGTGTCCCAATTAACTGGCACTTGCTCAAAGGTAACACCCAATAGTTTCAGTTTTTCTTTCCTC